ATGTATTTGTATATATTTTTTAATGTACTCTGTCTGTACTTTCATCAGCGAGCGATAAGAAGACCTCCCCGTTGTGTTCAGCAGCAGCGTTGCGCATCAATATCAGAAGCGGAGTTTTTTGCATAAACTAAATTAACAGGTTGGTAATTTTTTTATTCAGTGTTTTTATGTATTTTTATTTCACATGTTGCGAATTGATTTTAAATTATTATTTTCTGTCTTTTCTTTCTATTTCAGAAAAACCGCAATCATGTCAAAGAGATCTAGGTCGCCGTCTGACAATGCTGAAGAAAAGCAGGAAAAAAGAACCAGAAACACGGCCACTTTGACCGAATTAGACAAGCAGAATGCGCGCTTTGAATCGGATGCTTGAATTAGTACCTTCACCCCGGTGTTCGTTTCACAACCTGAAGGAGAAGACGTCGCTGGAGCTCCCAAAAAAAATAACGTTCATTTTCAGGAGTCAGGTCCCACCACCGCATCTGCTCCACAGAGAGTTCTCACTAGAAAAATTTGGGTTCACTGCAAGTGTGGGTTATGTATTTATTTACCACCGGGGTGAGCTTAATCTTTATCAGATTCGCGACAATGAATAGTTTTCAACCAGCACGCCTCTCACTTTCGCTAAACATGAAGATTGGTTGGTTCTAACCGCGCTTGTACCACTAGAAAATTTTCTCCCTAAAACAAGCCCTGGTGAATCAGGGAAAAAAAACAAAAACCGCACTATCATCTGGAGTGACCCTCCCAGTAGATCCAAGCTGTTACAGAAAAAAGTGCTGTACAGGGCTTCATGGACATCTGACACGTGTCATAATGGCGAGTGTAAATTGCAGGCGAGCATTTACGAAAATTACCACCTGCACCCTAACAATATGTTTCATTTAGACACTGTTAACACGGATTGTGGGGCGTTTTGCACAGTTGTGTCAGTTCCTGTGATCGCGATGCATGCCATCCTGCGTGAGTATAACACAGCTGCTGAGATCACGACCCTTTTTCTGACCTGTCGCCAATGGAATGATGTCGTGGTGATAAAAAACGTTGGATTTTAACTCATGATCCTCCGCACACACACATGCACACACACACGCATACACACACACACACACATGCACAGCTCCACCCCCATCCCCTAGCTCCAGCTCCGCCCCTTCTGTTCTCTCTACAATTTAAGAAGAACAGGAATGCGGCATAAGTCTCAGAACAAGTTCCGACCCGAAAGACTGAAAAGAAAATGTACCGACCGCTCCAATAGCCATCTCTCGCAATGTTCTGGGGGGTGAGTAGCCCTGATCTGCCTGAAGACTTGATGGGTTCTCCCCTCCACGCCTCCATGCCTCAGCTGCATGAGCTACATCCTGACTACTTTGCGGGTTACCTGCCCTCATCACCGCTGCCGGCTACAGCCCCTCGCAGCTCACAGCTCCCGGTACTTGAAGAAGAACACCTCCAGCTCTCGCTACTCGATGCGGAAGACCTGCAGATCCTGGAACAGGAAGCAGAGGCGGACCAGTTCCAGTGTGCTTGCAGCGATTCGATAGCTGAAGACATCGTGAAATGGCTCAGCTCAACAACCCCTCACCTAGCTCCGGACACTGACAATTCGGAAGCAACACCTGAAATCTCGCTGGTGAATGCTGAGCCTCCAGCGGATCCCGGAGCGGAGCCCGGAGCGGCCTCTCAGGACCTGTTTGCGGAGCCCGGAGCGGCCTCTCAGGACCTGTTTGCAGAGCCTGGAGTGGCCTCCGAGCCTCAAAAGGCCTCACTTCCTCATGCTTTGCCAGCGCGGGAACCATCAACCAGCCCCGCTTCCTGTGGCGACTGGCTGGATTCGGGGGTCATTCAAACAGCTAAGATGGCCGTCCTTCATCTGCTCAGCATGATTCTGGACTCTTACGTCCAGGAAATATGTAACGGGTGCATTATAAATCATTCCAGCCAGTTCCAGCATCTTTGTATAATGGTCCGAGACGAGAACGATTTTTGGAGCATATTATGCTGAAATCTTGAACAGGGTCATGAAGTTTTGGTTTGTATCCACTGTCCAGATGATTCTCAGAGCTTGTGGCATGCKTGTGGATGATTATGCAATAAAAGTCATCACACAGACTTTATTATTTCAACTCAGATTTGAGCAGAATGTTTTTGAACGATTTACAATATGTACGAATCGATGCCCGAGTCTGAGGTGAAAAGTCTCAAACCGTTCACAAACTTTTACAAAACTGTGTAGAATAATCTTTATGTTTTCAGATTTTTTTAAAAAAAAATTCTGAGTGATTTGAAATAGTAGTTTTTATGTAGCGTGATTAGAAACTGTAGTTTTTTCTTCAGATTTTCATTTTATATTACAAAAAAGTTTGTTTTTGTTTTTCATGACTAGATGAATGTAATGTTTCATTTCTAATGATTTGTTTTTCCTCTAAATCAAAACTGATTTTTGTTGTTGTTTTTT